CTGACACTGTGGCGTGCTATTCTCTTCATTCAAGTCTGTCATGTCCTGTAAATGTCAACGATGGATGTGTAATAAGAACGTCAACAGCCTGATGGCAACCGAAAATCCCTCTCTCATCTCAGATAGAAGATATGATTGGAGACGACCAGCCAATCAGAATTGTCCTTCTCGAGTTCTCCGATTGGTTGGTTTTGTGGCACATTTGTAACGCTGTGACAACTTGAGCGAGCGCAGGCAAAGCTGAGCGTGCACAGGCTGGAGAGGTCGAGCGAGCGAGGGAGAGAGAGCGCGTGCAGCGGTCTGCTTGCGCACGGAGCAGGAGTTTAATGAGAAAATATATTTCTCTGTGCTCAAAAATGTTCAAGTGTGCGCTCAATAGCATTTTCTAAGCTCAACATGTTTCATTGCGTGCTCAGGATAGAGGCACAAATATAACGCCATAGTAAAGGGGGTAACACAAGCAACTTAATGAAGCATTTGCAAACGAGACACTCAGGCCCAACCCCAAACCACTCCCTCGACCCTACCCCTCCGTGACGGAGTGAACTCCGTCTGTAGCCACACTCGCAGCTCAACGAGGCTCCCTCCTGTTAGATGGAGGGAGTAAATACAGCGGCAAGCTTTGGGACAAACTCCCCTCTCTCCGGCAGAAACAGGAAATGCCATAACTGTATGTGACAACGGTTTGAAATCAGCCAAAGACAAAAAATGTAAATTAATAACTCAAATAAAACTCCAAACATCTTTAATTGTGTTAAAGCTTTTTTGTAAAGCTCTTTTAGTTTTAAACCTGATGTTTATAAGCTTCTTAGTTTTTGCAACAATCTGTAAGTATACACAACTTTATAATAAAATGCACACATTTACCTTTTTCTAGACTAAACACAGGTATGATCCTAAGTTAAAAAAAGATGAGGTTATCATGAGGTTGTTAACATCGCAGTTTATCAGTGGATGTTTGATGGAACTACTTGTAAACAGCGTGTTTCCTGACGGACACACACAGCGTTGAGACCGGTCAGGTGGAGACCGTCTCAAGTCAGCACCGATGACTTGATAGCCCACTCCCCTTCCACACCGCTCCATACTCGTTGGTTTGGAACAGCACTTAATATGGTGGACCCTCCGCGTGAACGCGCAAATGGAGTGGTAGGGTGTAGGGGGCGGTTTGGGAATGGGCCTTAATGTGGCGGACCCTCCGTGTGAACGCACAAACGGAGGGGTAGTGTGTAGGGCGTGGTTTGGGATTGGGCCTAAATGCCCAGCATTCTGTGCCACTCGATGACGTAGTATACTTGAAATAGTGGCTCTGAAGNAAACATCAAAAGTGTTTATTTGATAGATAGTTTACCCGCCGCCCCCCTCTACTCAAAGAAGGGCGGGTGTGATCTCAGGTCGCCTCACCATGGGGGAGAGAGAGGGGGGCGGCGGGTAAACTATCTATCAAATAAACACTTTTGATGTTTATAAAGTAGTACCGCAATTAGTTCAATTAATCTCACGCCTCAAAATGCCACCAAATTCATTCATACAATATGAATAGTTATGCAGATGTATTTTTTTCCTGGCCTGGGTTTCATGAAACAATAAAGAATTATTTAAAAACGGACTACGGCAACTTGGTACCGTCTTGACCTGTAGTTGACAGTGTTGGGGGAGGGGTACGCTATGCATTGATTCTTGGGTCGAACATTAATACCTACGGTGATGGAGAAAAAAAGGCACAACGCATCACGGGCCCAGTTTAGAAAGAAAAGAAGAAGAAGAGAAAAGATAAAGGTATGCATCTGTAACATCTTATTTATTTAGTTGGGCTTTATTAAGCATGTCATTAAATGATGCTAGTAACCTTAACTCCATTGCTACTTGTTGTTCCTAACATTGTAATCATTTCAAACCATCTTACTTCAGAACGATAATGTGTAGCCCTGCAATAAAAATCTTATAAACAACCACTATAACCGTTGTTGATTTAGTCACCTTCATTTAGCAAGCACCTCAAAAAGTAATCGTACTGACAAGTCCTTTGTGTCATTTTCAATACTGGAGGCTTGATTAAAAGACGAAAGGTGCACCATATCAGCTAGAACCGCCACTGGGTCCACACCTGTACCTATAGTAGGCAATATTATAGCAGAGCTACAGAACAAAAAACCAAACAACTGATCGCCGGTCGGACACTGAATGCAACACTAACTGTAGTTAGTTAGCCAGGCAACTGCATCAGCTCCCCTCGGACACTGTGTCAATGAAACCTACAAGCTCTGTGTCTTGGTTGTGCCGGGCTACCTTTCATACACAGCTGTGGTGATTCCAACAGTCTGGATGCTTATTCTATGATGACATCATTCAAACTCCAGCTCATTTAGGAGAGGGAGACTCAACAGACCAGATCTCATTCAACTGCTCTCTAATGACAAAACAATACTAAAATGGAACTAATCACGATGAAAAAACAAACACACCTTTCTGTTTTGTCCACGGGTTATATACCTAACTCTTCCTTTCCCCCCGCCTGTTGTCCTCTCAGCATTCCTGGCACTCCTCTCCCTGCTGACAGCCTGCTGGATGTGCTATGGGATGGCAGAGTGACTCTCAACACTATGGCAGAGTGACTCGTGACCACACACACACACACACACACACACACACACACACACACACACACACACACACACACACACACACACACACACACACACACACACACACACACACATTCAGGAATGCTCTCCCTCAGTAACAGAATAAACGGCCTGCAGCGTGGGCAGAATAAGGAGGGCACAGTCAGAGCCACACATTGTTGCTTTGGCTCTGTTCATGGGATTTGGTGACAAGAAAAAAATATACAATATCAACAGTGTCATAATTGTAATTGTATCCACACTAGCTCTGTGTACTGCTTCAGAGAGGTATGCAGAGCTAAACTTTTCCTAATAAGTTGCGCACTGGTCCAGAAAGACAACATTCCTCTTGCAGTAGGTAACATTCAGTACTTCCTGCTTTACTTTGTTGATATTTGAACACGCTTCCACACACTTGTGCACATTTTGTAAAAGGTACACAGTGAATTGTTATAATAGGAAACGGTATCTCCCTCATTTTGTACTCAAACTGTTGCTTGGCTGAAGTCCAGCTCCAGGCCTGAGTGAAGCTGCTGCTTAATACTGCACACTGTGGGAGTGGGGTTACAAAGACAGATGAAATTCCTCTGCTATGGCAAACACATGAGCATTAGCTCAATTGCCAGACGGACATATTAGATGAAGTGGTACAGGGTGAAGCCTGAAATAAGGATTGTCCTGAGTATGTGTGTGTGTGCATGCTCACACACTTCATACAATGTTTTTCTGTCCACCGTTGTTTGAGTTTAAACTCTGATAATCATTACTAAAATCCTGTTGACCACTAACAAAGATAAACTGTTGTTCTCAACATCTGATTTAGCAAGTGTCTCAGAGTCACATTTAGCAGATGTAAAGTCTGCAGTGAGCCCTATATAGCTGTCCAAACAGACATGCCGTGAGTGAGTGAGTGATGTTACATAGTGCGCACTCTATTGACCCGTGTCTTGTGGGTTATGCAACTTGGCCTGACCAATCCCATGACTCACTGAGGCCAGTAAAGAAGTGCACAAAGTTACATTAAGACTTTGAGCCTCCAGAGAACACCCAGAATTTCAGATGGCTAATTTGGGAAACAATTGAGCTGCTGACCCAGGCCATGGGGGGGGGGATGTTCATGACAATGTGCATGACCTGACCACCACCGTTATGAACCTAGCCTGTTTCCATGTGACAATACCTACAATAGACAACCTTTCAACCTGGTTAGAGCTGAAGACTCTGACCCAAACACTGGCTCAACACCTTTACTAGCTAGCAGTGCATGTAAAAGGAATTCTAGCACAATACTGTACCACATGAAGAACAAGCACCTGGCTGCCATGTCTGTTTGTTCTCTACTTATGTAAGACAATACCAAAGCTAAAACAAAGAGGATTTGGACATTCATCAGGTGGACACAAACACAATGCGGAACCAAGCATCATGCGGCTATGTTACTGCTAACAACACCACCACTTCAAATGTATTCATGTTGTTCACAAGTGTTCTTTTAAGCCTATCAATTCTATTAAAAACATTTCTTGTTAATATTGAATCAAATAATATCAAAAAGCAAACAATGTAACCCTGCCTATTGCTGCTGCTTTTCTATTGCTCTTCTCTGAGTAAGATAAGGCCTTACTAATGGAGCGGCACTGATCTGCTGCACTCTTTCTTCGTATCGGAAGCAACCAGGTCAATCCTGTGTGCTAACATCTAAGCAGCAGCTTGAGCTCTTGTTCTCAGCACAGTCCTACTATCCTATCTGTCAGCTAGTTGAGTGTGGCACGACATGCAGTGTCAGAGTTTGCAGGAAGGAAACAAAGGCTGCTCAGACCAGCAGCTGCTAGAGAGCCGTCTGAAGAACATCCTGTGTCAGTTTCACTGAGATTAAATACAAGTGGTCACAAACAAGAGCGCCACCACAAGACAGACGAGTACATCTAAACATCTAAACTTCTGCAAAGTCACAACCATGATCACTTTTCTTTTTCATACCAAACTAGCACTAAAGTGGTCTTCCAAATCTTTTGACAAAAAATGAATTACAGGACTGATAAAGATCAACTCTTTAACGTGTGGATGGGTTTTGATTTCATTGTAAATACACTAAATATTTAGTATTCCTTGTTGGAAGAGCAGCAGCCCTCCAAGGAATTTGCAGGAGTAGCGTGTTGAACAGCGCCTCTGTAAATACATCTGGTGTAGAACCTGTTTTGATGAACACATCCTACACGTCATCTGAAGGTTTCAAACTCCTCAGAGCGGACCACCATGGGACTACCCCACAGACCCCCAGGGACATATACTGGGACATGTTTTTGGACTTCAGCTTGGCGTTCATCACCAGGCCATCATGCCTCCAGGACTCTCTGCTGTCCCCACTGCTCTTCTCCCAGGCCACTCTTTATTTATTACCATGAATGTCTGTTTAATTGTGCTGTCAGTAGAGCTGAGTTTATGTCCTCAACTTTCTGTGTGCTGATGTCTGGAACAACTCTACATTTACGTTAGTTTTTGAGGTCCGAAAATAGAGAAGATATTCCAATGAATGCTTTTGTCATGCGTTGTCGATGCCTTACTATCTTCTGAGCGGCCACAATACTAAAAGCAGTAGTTGAGTTTAGTTCATCCACTTCTTGAAAGTATATTTCTTCTGCTCAGCTCTTGCAGCTTTTCCAAAATTGCCCTTTTTTTTGCCCAGTGCTTGTTCTTCAACATTACCTTTATTGTTGTTTGCTAAATTCTCACCACATATAAAGCATAAAAGTAAGCCAGCATTGTTAGCAAAAAAAGCAAATAGTTCTGCATAGTCCTTGCAGAATTCAAGCGTTTGTATTATTCAACCATGGGCAGCTTTCTGAGGACGGAGTCAAAATGTCAGAATTAGCGACCAACAGGTAAATGGTGCGTAAGTGTTGAATGTGTATCTTAATGTCACAGTATCACCTTGAAGTCTTGTGAAAAGATTCTCCGCTTTGCAACAAATGATTAGAATTAATTTCCTTATTATTTGTTCTCAAAGCTACAGGGCTTTGAGGGGATGAAGAGCCGCATGCCGGCCCCTCATCTAACCATCACTTCATGCAAATCCATTTCATTTCTTATTTTATTAAATACTTGTATTTGATTACATGAATGCCCTCTGTAAGGATTTGAACGTATTTGTTTCTCTTGTAGCTGGGAGTCAGGTCCCTACATATGGGTCTGAGGTGTAGACTCTACAGACCTCATACATACACTGAGGAAGGGGTCCTGTTCAATCCTCATCAGAGAATCAGAACTAATGTGTTGGTCGCACTTTGAAGACAGTTTGGAGCTTAGGTGAACAACAAGTATACCATTTTAAATATGTTGGATAGTAGTAACGACGTTACCTTAATAAAGACGGATAAAACTGTAGTATCTCTGTTGATACATTTTCAAGAAGAAGGTTTTTGAAATGTTATAGATCGTTTCATCAATCCCATTTTGAGTCATAAGAGAGTGACAGAACTGATGAGTCAGCGCGCTTTGACGTAGGCTTATTGTTTGTGACGTAATTGGGGAACGTGAGAAAGCCCGATAGAGCTATTGTAACGTTAGAGCTGTCACGCTAGTGAGGAGCCTACTGAAGGTAAGAAGGTATACGGTGGTCCTACCTGATGCTGCCCCAGTGTTGGACGCTCTACTCGGCTTCAGCTGAGGACAGGTCCTTTTGAGTCCCCCTTCTCCTCCACTGACAGCGGAGTGACAGCAGCGTGTCGAACCGGCTGCCGTCCCTCCCCTCGAGGGGGCACATAGTTGGCTTAACAAAGCCGAACAGCGACGAGCTGGATTCATTCTACAGTGTTCAGCGTTAGCGTAGAAAGAGCTGTACGTTACCGGATGCTGTCTGTCACCTACACTGAAGAAACCGAGCCATTTATTTTAAAAGCGTGAGAACTTTCCCCTCGCACAGTCGCACTCGGTTTGACAGGAACACTTCCTTTGTGTGGTGCTCTTGAAGGTAATAGAAAGCCGGCCGGCAGAAGTTACGTTATGCTGCTGTTGAGTCACGAAACTCCCGCCACAGAGGGGTGAGCCAATCATGGTTTAGTCCATAATGTTTTTCAGAGGGCACCAAAATCCGTGAGACCTACTTTTGACATGTCTCTAAATGTTGCATTTTCGTTAGCAAACGGATCAGGAGGACCAAACAAAAATAACTACCTACAGAGCTCCCCCGTTCTTATTATACATCCATGGCTCCCTCCTATCGTCTCCGGTGTCTCGAGCCTCTGAAACGTGTACTATGGAGGCAGGACCAGCGGAAAGAGGGCATTAACATTTCATGAACAATCCAATCAGCGTTTATTACAGAGGAACGACGTCAATAGCACGCCCCCCTACGCCTGTTCCATGGATGTATAATAAGAACGGTCTGTTCCCCTGTTCCATGGATGTATAATAAGAACGGCCTGTTCCCATGGATGTATAATAAGACATCAGTGACGCGTCCGGGTTTTAGGACGCGTCACTGACTGTGGCACTCTATGCTGTCGACACAGTGGTCGTCTCAAATTCTACACCTGAAAACAAGACCTGTAAATTGCCCTACCCAGAATAACCACCATACAGCCAGCACCTGTCTACCCAAAGAATAAGCAGGATTCAGAAGGGCGGTAAAGTAATAATTATCTGTAATTATTTGTCTTAATGTTTTTTTAAACTAAAAAGTCAGAAAGAGTGGCAGAATTATCAGTGTTGGCAAG